AGAAGTAATCAACTTTCACTTCACTGATTTGTCCTGTAGTACTCTTTTGATAGCGCAAACTAAATCTGTTTTGAATAATAAGCCTTTTAATTGTTGACCTTGTAATAATACCTGGACAAGTGATCCTCTCAAACTCCACTGGACAGGATTTTATAAAGCAAGGCAGAGCAGCTGAAATGTGAAATGAGGCAGCAATTCAGTTTGAGCACTTACCTAGGTTTGGGCATAAATGCAAATTGCTTTGAGTTATTCACCTCTGACCTACAGCAGCTCCATCGTGTGCTGTAACTACTCCTGGCTCTCGCACTCAGCTTGCCCAGGCAGCAGCTCCCTCGAAGACAAACTTTCACAATGCCCAAAATAGCATGCAGCGAAGTTCAGCAACTCTTCACCCCAGAGTTGCCAGTGGTAGCTCTCGAGATTTCAGCCTCAACCCAGAGGTTTGGGGAGTCCTTCAACCATGGCTGGCCAATATATGACTGGCCAATATATGACCAATGTGTGTGCAACTCGATATATAAACTCTGTAATTTAACATCGCCAACAAGAATTCAGGGTAAATACAAACCAGTACTTTTTTTTTAAAAGAATCCCTACAGTGTGGAAACAGGCCCTTTGGCCCAACAAGTCCACACTGGCCCTCAGAGCATCCCACCCAGACCCATTCCCCTGTAACCCACCTAATCTACACATCCCTGAACACTATGGGCAATTTAGCATGACCAATCCACCATAACCTGCACATCTTTGGACCGTGGGAGGAAACTGGAGGAAACCCACGCAGACATGGGGAGAATGTGCAAACTCCACACAGACAGTTGCCTGAGGGTGGAAATGAACCCAGATCCCTAGTGCTGTGAGGCAGCAGTGCTAACCACTGAGCCACTGTGCCACCCCAGTGCTCTTTAGTACTCTTTCCTCTTTACTTCTCTGAGCATTTTCTGTTTCTCTTGGCCTGGTACTCCTCTCCGATTATGGTCACAGGCCTCCCAGACCTCTTCCACTAGGCCTCTTAGAATTAGGGAACTATGGGACAGCCAAGGGGAAGTTTGTACCCAAGATCCTACCTGATGAAGTAGGGCAAGGGAAGCCTGAGAGGGTGGATGGTGAGTGGGGATCCTAGCATGCAAGCTGTTTCTCTGTTTGCTCTCTGTCTTTAGATTGAACTAAAGATCATCTATCATCATGTGAGTGTGGGAGGATTTTTCCTTCAAATGGGCGATAGCTGTTCAAATATTTGCTTTATTGTTTATGTGTTCATTTCTGAAAAGTAGTTTCATGGGCTTGTGTTGGTTTTTGCGATGTTTCAGACCGGCACGGCTTGAAGGAACCCAAGAAGGTTGAAGACCTGCAGACCAAGATAATAACGTGTCTGAAAGACCATGTCACATCCAGTGCAGGCGAGCAAATGCGGCCAAACTACTTATCCAAGCTTCTGGGCAAGCTGCCGGAACTATGTACCCTCTGCACACAAGGACTGCAACGCATTTTCTACCTGAAACTCGCTGACCTGGTTCCTCCACCTGCCATTGTCGATAAACTATTCTTGGACACGTTGCCTTTCTAGAGAAGCTGCCGAGCTGTGTGACTGTTGAACTGGACCCCAGCAATCATCTTTGATGATGCAGTATGAGCAGGGAGTTCAACTTACACTGGAACCAGTTCAAAAATCAGATGGCTTCAGGAATTGGACAAATATGCTATGCGCTAATTGGGTTTGCTGTTTTTCAAAAATGCTGTTTTTATTTTATTCAGCATTACAGGTTATTGGAGAAAAAAAATGTCCCTTTGCTACATTGCAGCTTCTACAAAACAATCTAGCCATATAGCTTCTCTGAGCTTTGACAGACTTGAGAGATCAGATGTTCTCAGAGAAGATAACAGCACTGGTTAGAGACACTCTCTCCCTCTGCCTCATATTGTCATGGCCCTAAATCCTAAACTCAAGAACAAATGCAATGTGATGCTTTTTCTGTGTTGTAGACTCTCAATTATAGCCATCTATTACAGCTAAAGAATCACAAATCAAGGAACATGATCAGGGCCAAATGGGAAAAATCAAGACTGAACCTATTTCAGTCATCAGCTATCTAAGAAAATGGATATGTGCGTTATCTGTCTGGCTGGATTTGTAATCGTATGCCAGAGGTAGGCATACCATGTCCAACCCTGTCATCTTTGGAAAGAGTAAAGCTATCTGAGATGGATTTTGAAAGAACATTCGTTAACAATGTGATACTTCAATCTTCAAAAGGTTCTTTCAAGGCCAGTCCCGGACAATCAGGACTGAGAAGCCTGAAATGTGACAGACTAAACCTTGAACGATGTCACTATGCATTCTGCATGAATATTTTACGATATGGTTTAGCAAAAATAAAACGTAAGGCAATACTGAAGATGCAGACAGCCCCGACTGGAAGCTGTGACACTTCCAGTTATGAAGACTGCACTAACGCAACATGGCACAAATTAATGGGACTAGCTTGGATGTTTTAAAAAGGTTATTTGTCTTGCTAAGGTATGTTTTCCTTCTCTAACAGCACTGTGGGTGTCCCTGCACCCCATGGACTGCAGCGGTTCAAGAAGGCAGCTCGTCACCACCTTCTCAAGGGCAATTAGGGATGGTTAGTAAATGATGGGCCCAGCCAGTGATGCTGACATCCTGTGACTGAATGAATAAAGAAAAATGTCCTGGATCTAAGAGTGGATCAACTTGAGTTTGTCGTACCCCCTTATGGAAAAGTTTTGAGACTTGTGTATGAGAGAGCAAAGCCTATTGTCCCAATGGAAACAGGCACTTTATGGGTTGAGTTGGAAGGGAGATTTGGGCAGGTGGAGCAGGCAGAGTTGGTGGCAATGGCAGTTGAGATGGGGATTGTCGTCTATGATTCCTTTCATTAATTTTACTATCGTTGGCTCCTTAGCTACAGCAGCAAATTGTATTGATTACATCCGCCAATGAGTTCTTTGGTTCCTTATGTGGACTGTGAACATTTTCAAGTGGTTATTCCTGGCTTCAGTTTATGGCCACCCATATGACAAAAGGTTCAAATCAATCATTCTGTTGACTGGTTGACCTTGTGAGGGAGCAAGGGTGAAAGAGGTATATTGTACTGTCATGGCTGGGAATAATTATCTGATTTTATCCTATATGGAGAGCATTATGACTGGGAATAGCATGCTTTAAACTGAAATGGGGAGCACTGAATAAATTGTAGTACTTAACATGTCTGATGCCAGAATGGAAATATGTATATTTTATATTGGTTAAAAAAACCCCACAGACTGATGGACAGTGCCTTTACTTGTCATCATGTACAGAAGGTGTTTGATTCTGATGTTTTCAGGAAATTGTGCAATGAATTAGACCATGTGTCGTCAGAGTGTTGAACCCTTTACAATGGGGCAGCTCAAGTATAAAGTCATAGCTGCACTTCCAAACTTCAACCAGGCTCCTAACGCGGACCGTATTTGCGAGCGACTGCAGGGGTTGGGGTTCAGAATGGGAAAATGCACCCATCCATCACAACAGCGAGGAGAAATGGCGTGCCCAGCGTCATGAAAGCAAAATATTCTGGGTGCTGGAAGTCTGAAAGAAAAGCAGAAAATGCTGGAGCTTTCGACTGTGTCTGGCAGCCTTCGTGCCCAGAATGGAAAACAGAGAGTTTATCTTTTCGCATCTGTGAAGTCTCATCGAGTCATACAGCACGGAAACGGGCTCTTCGGCCCAACTCGTCTAACACCGACCGATCTCATCAAGGTCCTGAACCCGAAATGATAACTCTCCACTGCGGAGGATTTCCAACATTTCGTGTTTTTCATAACCACTGATCCCACTATGGCAGGTCGATGGTTCAGCTGGTCCCTATTAAGGTCCACCTGCCTATAATAATTAGACTTTGTAATCTAGGAGAAAATGTAAGATGTTGTTGCAAAATGCATAAACTTTTCTATTGTTATATATTTTTAAACCGATTTTTTTCCAATGTTAGGGTATGACGTCAAGATGTTTAACTCGATGTTTTAAGAAACTGTCCTCTCCGAAAGCAGTTTCTCCTATTGGCACATCTGTTATGTGTGCATATTGTGCATGGAGGTCACTTGTGGAGTTAGTGCTAATAAAAGCTTTTGTCTGTTTCAGCACTGCTCCGAACCGTCCTCCCTGGTGTAGCGCGCATTACAAACATTCACAGCATTAAGTCTCGACCGTGTCCCAGTAAAAGACCCGCTGCCTCGAATTTCTCACATGCATCACCTACAACGCGTGAGAAGAACGAAAGTTGAGACAAGGGTGCCAGCAACAGGTATTGCCCGCCTGAGTGCGGTGCCCAGTCTCACATTGGCACGATCTTGCGTGTGAAGCACATACTGCGGGAGGCAGAACCAAGGAGAGTCAGGGACCACCAAAGGTTGACCAGTGTCCCAAGCAACGAACAGAATGTGAGACAGACGCAGAAATTTGCTGGAGAAACTCAGCAGGTCTGGCAGCATCTGTGGAGAGAGAGAGAGAGACAAAGTTAACGTTTCGAGTCCAGTGACCCTTTGTCAGAATGGGGTCACTGGACTCGAAATGTTAACTCTGTTTTTCTCTCTCCGAAGATGCTGCCAGACCTACTGAGTTTCTGAAGCAAATTTCTGTTGTTGCTTTAGACCTTCAGCATCCACAGTTCATTGTTGTATAACAGTGTGAGGGGTGGGCCTTACAGAGGATCAGTGCCAGAGGGGACGTTGAGGTTTGTTAACATGAGATCAGCCACTGCCTGCGTCCTTCCCAAACGCAGTCCACCATCTACACTACACCCACCATTACTAATACAAGTCAGCGTGACTTCCAATGACTGAGCCAGGAATCTCAGAGTGGATCATTGAGACGCTAAACAACTCAAGGTTTATAAGCCTTGAGACAGAGTGGGAAAGGGGGATGGAGTAGGATTATGGCTCCGAGAAGGCTTTGCTGAATTCAAGCGAATGTGCATAGCGTTGCTGTGGACAGTCCATGGATGTGCTGAGGAGCGTCCAGCAATTGAACAGCCCGAGGGCAGGCAGGGAGATTGTTGTCTGTGGGGCCTGGAGCTGAGCTAATCTCCTGAATCCTGCAAATACCCCCTCAACCCTTTCACACACCCCCCCCCCCCCCCAACCCAGCCAATGTTATGAGGTTTCCCTGACCTGGACCTCCTTTCATCATTTCTGGTCTGCCCTGCTACCTATACATATTGTATGATCTTAGTGCTGACATGCACCTTTCTGATGAGAACATTAAATTACCTGACTGCAGCATTTCAGTGAAGTGTATTATTTTCAATCGTGAAATAGTGAATGTTGTCAGTGTGCTCCTCCAGGCAAACAAAGCAAGGAATCCATGATGAATGGTAGGACCATGGGAAGCACAGACGAGCAGAGGGTAGTTGGTGCACTTGTACATGGGTCCCTTGAGGTATCGGGACAGGTGGATAAAGTGTGGGATACTTGCCTTTACTAGCCAAGGCATAGAATTTAAGAGCAGGGAGGTGATGCTGGAACTGTATAAAAGATTGGTTATGCCACAGTCAGATGACTGTGTGCAGTTTTGGAATCCACATCATAGGAGGGATGTGATTGCACTGGAAAGGATGTAGAGGAGATTTACCAGGATGTTGTCTGGGCTGGAGAGTTTCAGTTATGAAGAGAGATGGACAGATAGAGATTTTCCTTAGAGCAGAGGAGATTAAGATGTATAAAATTATGAGGGGCAGAGGCATGGTGGAACTTTTCCCCTTGATGGAGGGTTCAGTGACCAGGGGTATAGATTGAGGGTAAGGAGCAGGAGGTTCAGAGGGGAAGTGAGGAAAATCGTTTTCACCCAGAGCGTGGCAACCAAACAGAATTTCAACTCTCCAAATGCAGCAATCCAAAACCTCTGCCAAGGATGGATACTGGCTCTGTGGGGAAGTGGATGGAGATTTAACCCTGAGCTTGGACTGTGAAAACTGAGGGAAGGTGTGAAACAGACAGAAAGCTGTTGGCCAGGAGCACAAGTTTGTTCCTCTCTGAGTTTATGAGTTTGACTGGGCTTGGACTTTCTGTGTATGTGTGTGTGTGTGTGTGTGTGTTTATGAGAGTGTGCATGTATATAAGTGTATTTATGAGAGTGTCTGTGTGTGTGGATGAGCATGTGTGCGTTTGTGCATCTGTTTCTCAATCTACTCCCTTGTTGTTTCTCTCCGAGTCAGTGTCTCTTCTCACTTTCAGTCTCTGCATCTTCCTTTCTGTCTCTCAATCTATTTTCCTCCCTCTCTTAGCCACTATCCCTTTCTCCCTCTGTTTTAGCATTTAACTCATGAATGAGCCTTAGGGGCAAAGTGCCATGTTGAAAGCCCTCCCTGTTTTTCAAGCTTAAGCCTGACCAGTGTTTCCCAACGTTTCCCCACTGTGAGCCCATTTTGAGGCTTGCAAATG